AAGTTCTAAACTATACTCATTGCTGAAGCTCAAACTACTATATACAAACCAAATTAATCGAGCCGATGAATACGGGATACCGGATGGTTAAACAGGAAAAAAAACTGAAGCTTGACATGAATTTTGATGGTTGAAGGCAACAAAATACATAGGAGGTCGTGAGTATTTGGAGACATAGCAAACTTGTCGATGTGTAAATCTTCGATTTAAGTTGAGTTCCCCGGTTCAAAGAAGCAATGAAGCTAACTTCTATACATTTGAAAACCTCGAAAAGTAACAGAAGGAACAATTTCAAACTGTAAACCTAACAACGAAATCAACGTATTTGCAAAGAAACATATTTGAGATGATCAATGCTGTAGCAATTAGGTATAATAAAATCATGAAACACAAGCTCATCCTAATATACCAGTGCAGCGGTTACAACTACTTTAAATCCAATAAAACTGATAATTAAAGTGTGAAAAAAACAAATAAATCAATGAACGTAGAAATACTTACGAGCACACATACGCACATCCGGATCCGAAACATTGAAACAAAACTCCTCGCCGGAAAATGGTTACCTACTGCCACTTTATTGCTAAAATTTCAAGCAGGTACAGTGAAAGAGAAGTTCCAAAATAGTAATCCCAAGCAAGTTATGGACTAGAAACTAGAACCGGAATCGGCAACTTGAACAGATTCAACTCGACTGGATTTGGGTGGTGATTTCGAGCTGATTTTCACACTGATTTGGTGTAGTTTCAGGGAGTTTCTGGAGCTGGGTTTACTGCTGGGTTCGAACTCTGTTTCGCCGGGTTCAATGGAGGGTCGCCGGAGCTACACGTTTCCGATCAGATCTGATCGACATCTACAATTATCACACTAAAAGTAGCCGATAGGATCGCCGGCGTTTGAGACGGAGATGAGGGAGATAGGGAATGGAGGCAGTAGCGGCTTCACAACGACAAGAGCTATAGCCGTTGCCGGTCATCACCTCCGGCGGCAACCATGAGAGCTGGAGATGAAAGGCTATCTTGTTGTGTCTTTGTGTGTGTGACTGTTGGTTCGAGATTCCAAAATCAGAGGGAAGGGGCGTTAGGTCGTTGAGAGAAGGAGAGATGGTGTTGAGTCTCTCAAAATGAGAGAGATGGCTGCCACTTCTCCGTTCTTTTATCTTAGGGTTCCGCCAATTTGGGTTGAAACTGGAGGGGTGCGGGCGGCTCAGTGGTGAAGAAAGATCAGGTTTCCTCCTTGTTTTTTGAAGAAGATCAAGTTCAGGGGGTCTTTTATTGGGTTTTTGATGATAAAAACGGCTGACCTCTTTTGGGGTGGGCTGGGCTTAGGAATTATGGGCTAGGTCCGAATTGGGCTAAATTTTGGCCAAATTTACCTTTAAAAGTGGCCCTTTAACTCTAGTAGACTAAAAATATTAGTTCCTAAAATAGTAACTATAATATTGTGAAATCATTCCTAATTAAAATAAATTACTAGAATAAAACTAAATACTAAAAGTAAAATTATTTTTGTATATTTTTATATTTTTAAATTTTATGAAAGGTAGATGAACTAAAAGCAATTAAATATAATATCAATTAGCTAAATAAGAGAAAATATTTTTGTAATTTTCATTTTTGTGATAAAATAAAGTAAAAGGGTCAAAAAACCAGTTAAAATAGCGATATTGGACCTAAACTAACTATTTAAACGCTAAAATATATAAAATCTCGGGAATGGTCAAAAATTACATGTCTACAAGATGCTCTGTTACGCTGAAATTTACAATGATAGTTTCCCGTGTTTTCTCTGAAATTCATCACTGTTAAGTGCAAGCTTCAATTATTGTTTGCTGAAATTTGCAATAAATGTTCCCTTGTTTCTCTGAAAAGTTCATCACTATCAGGTAGGTCTCTTCTTCTATATTTCTTTTTGGTTGATTTACGTGTAGCATGCTAATCTCTACAATAGGATCTTGTGGTTTTGAAGTTGTTGTATACTGTGGATTTATTATGATTTTTTGCTTTGAATCACATCTGTTCTACATTCTCAGAAACAAGATTTCTGTTTTCTGTTCTTATATTTTAGCCCGTTAATTGCAGATAACTCCAAAATGCGTTTTAGCCCGTTAATTACTTGTATTTTAAATAGCTAAGTAATACACTTCTTGTACATTAATTCCATAAACTCTCGGTCTCGCAATAATCTCAAATTAGTTTAGGAATATAATTCACATGCGTAGCTTGCTTTAGGCGCGATTAATAAATTATCGTGGCCATGGGTACGGTTCCCGTGGCATGGCCACGATACGTAATTCCCAAAATTCGGGTGCACATTTCATGTGACTCGATCATAACTTCAAATAATAATAAAATAAATATGTTGTAGATCGTGGGTACGGTTTCCGTGACACGATTCGCAATGTGTACAAAAACAAATGAGTGTGCGACGTCGCGACTTGTTCAAATAAATTCCATAAATACTAAAAGCGTTTAACTAAATAAATAAAAGCGGTAATAAAGTTAAAAATGCACAATAGGTTTTAAACATGTAATAAATCAGACAATTGAGTTGAGCGACCGTGCTAAAACCACGGAATCCGGGAATGCCTAACACCTTCTCCCGGGTTAACAGAATTCCTTACCCGGTCTTCTGTGTTCGCGGACCATAAAATAGAGTCAATCTCCTCGATTTGGGATTTTAAAATAAACCGGTGACTTGGGACACCATAAATTATTCCAAGTGGCGACTCTGAGAAATAAATAAATAATCTCATTTCGGTTTATGTAACTTAAATTGAAAAATCTCCCTATCCCCTTCGGGTAAAAAGGAGGTGTGACACTAAATCTTAGAAGCTCATGATTTGTACTACCAGTCTTTAGGCAATGTATAAGATTCAGATATTTTCTTTTATTTATTTGTCTCATTAAATTTCATTGGAATTGGTTTAATGTCAATTGGCTTGCCTAGCGGGTTGGGTTAGTGTCATCACGATTAGTTGGATTTTTTGGTTCGTGACAAGTAACCTCCATAAACTTCACTTGTAAAAATACACTGAGTATGTTATTATCGTTTGTTTTACACTTAAATTTAAGGGGACATTAAGAACTTTACAACTAACCACATGATTTTACCTACTCGAAGAAAAAAGGGACCTCGAGGCACATGTGCATGTGATACTTACACAAACGCCTAAAATATGAGTGAGCCAAAAAGTGTAGCCAAAACCTATGGTCCAATTAACCGGTGAATTAATATTGCTTATCAAACTTCCCCATCAAAAATATGAGTGCACTTATTGTTTTCGCACTTGGCCGTCTAAAGTTCAATACTCTGTTTTAATTTGTCTACTTCTTCCGACCTATTTTATTAATGTTTTTAATATTTTTACATATATTAAAAAGTTTACCTTTTAATATTAATTAATAAAAAACTTGATCATTTTAACTTTAATTTATTCATTGAAAGTATAACAAATACTCATAGGCACTTTATTCCAAAAACAACTTTGAAAATATAGTTAATTCTTTCTTAATATTTAAAAAATTAAATATTATGAACCACACAAAAAAGTCAAACAAATTAAATAAAGTAGACCAGAAGAAGTATTATTACTAGTAATAATGATAATAGTAAGTAGTAGGGGTCGGTGGCATCTTTTTGTTTTTACCAAATTTTTTGTGATTTTTAATTCAATTGAACTATTTTTTCTCTACAATTATTTCACCATTGTCTCTATTCGTAGCCTCGGGCTAGAAGTAGGTTCCCTCCGGTTATATATATATACTCCCTCCGTTCACTTTTACTTGACATGTATACTAAAAATAGATTTTCATTTTTACTTGTCACTTAATGCATATTAAGAGAAGACAAATTTTTTTTCCTGTTATACCCACAGTATTTATTATTCATTTTAAATCATTTTTTCAAATCAAATAAAATATGCATCAATTAATATGAATATTATGAAGTATGCACTTCATTTATTATTTCTTTCGGGACGTGAAAAGTCAAAACGTGCCAAGTAAAAGTGAACAAGGGAGTATTAAAAAAAAAAACTTTAAATTGATAAGTAATGGTCCTGAGGAACTTAATAGACAGAAAGCTTCTAACGAAAACATCATACTATTCCGTCGATAGCATTTTAAAGATTTAGACATTTAACCGGCCAGAGATTCTGTAGTACATCATTTTTATGAACGCTATACATTTCTTCACTTAATTTAAAATCCTGTTGTACTTCTGTTTGAGTAAGGATGATTAAGTACATCTGTAGCTAAAACCAACATTTGAGGGACATTTTAAGTTATCAACATATTTCCCTAACAAACCTAAACAGGACGACATGTATCTTTTGATTGGCGGTGCACAAATCTTCCTCTTCTTATGATTACCAACTCTAGGTAGGGGCAGTCTCAAATTGGAAAAAAAGATAACTTTTAGTGCGCGGCTAAAATTATTTATATTTGGTAATTCCAAAAAAAAAAAATATATATATATATATATATATATATATATATATATTTCGACTATTATTTTAAGAGCGACACCATATTGTGTCATTTTTCGTATCAAATTCCACATGTTGAACAAAACACAATTAAAGTCTTTCACATGGCCTACAATTAAATGGATTCTCTACCAATCTAAGATGATCTTTCTTAGACTTGGAATTACTACGACACAAATCATAAAAATACCAAAAAGAATGAAAGGTTGTTAGGCTGTAATAGTATTTTTTTTGATTATTTAGGACAAAATCTTTGGAAAATTATCACTATTTTAGTGCTATTTTTCTTGTAAGAGTTACAGATACTGCTTTTTGTAGTAAGGGTTAAGTGTTTGCTTCTACTCTTGGCTTTGTTACCATTGACTTTAAGGAATAATGAGGTGACCTAAATTTTAGGTAATGGTAAACTTACATAATTAATTGTTGAAAGAAGCCTCTACAAATGTCTATTAGCAAATCAGTCTCAAGTTTGCCTATATATATATATATATTGAGAGATGAGTGCATGAGTCCATATCAAATATCATTTCCATTATCTAATATCAAGTCTTTAATTTTCTTCAAAATTTAGCTGCCCCAATTTCTTACCCTATGGAATCATATAAAATTCAACAATTTCTAGAAGGCAAAACTATTTTCATTACGGGTGCCACTGGTTTCCTTGCAAAAAGTATTTCCTCTTTAGCTATTTATCTAATTTTTGTTTACACCACCACTGCAATTTAATTCGTTATAGTATATTATTTACTATTTATTTTAGGTTACCAATTACCTTTTAAATGCAGTTCTGGTGGAGAAGATTCTTCGGGTTCAACCAAACGTGAAAAAGTTATACCTTCTACTAAGAGCTTCGGACACCAAATCAGCCAAGAAACGTTTTCATGAAGAGGTAAAACATAGTACTTTTCTTAAATTAAAAATATTACTTGCTTTGTCCATTTTATTTGAACAAGACTATTAAGGTAAAATGTTGTACTACGACCTGCATTTGTCCTTTATTAAGTGTCAAAAGAGAGTATACTTTTTCGGAAATGGAAGTTTAATTTTTTCTCTACATTCATGCAATACTTTTTTCGTTATTTTGGTTTATTATTAAGGACTTTGTATAAGAATTTTATTCAAAATATATCCTTTTAAATCTCTTCAAAAATTAAACTCTACTGTAATATTTATTTTCTAGTATCAGTAACAAAGCCAATCAAGATGTAACCATGTTAGAGTTTTGTGAGGTGTCTTTACATATTTCTCTTTTTGCGACGTGTATTTAATGAATGTTAGGTATTTTCTTTTTATTGCTAGCAAAATTGGGTTAGGCTATTTGTTATTTGTTCTGAATTTTCATTGAATATATGCAAGACAGTAATATTTGTAAGTTTTCATACAGGTTATGCAGATTGAATTGTTTAAGGTTCTAAGAGAAAAGATAGGTGCAAAAAACCTAAACTCTCTCGTAGAAGAGAAGGTATTTCCAGTTGCTGGTGATATTTCATACGAGGATTTTGGAATTGAAAATTCGGAGATAAAAGATGAAATGTTCAAAGAAATCGACATAATCATAAACTCAGCTGCAACTACTAGATTTGATGAGAGGTATGATTGTAAAAATATTAATAAAGTATTTTGATTCAAAGACATTTGATTTAATTCCATATATGGGATCGACAACAAATAACAGTTTTTTTTTCAGTTTGTCGACAGGGCAGATTTACATGGATCCAAGCGGTGTCACTGGACGCCGCTTCGTCAAAATATTTTACTATATATATATATATATAAAAGCATTAAAAGTGACACCACTTGCAACAAAACAACTTAATAGTCTAGTGGTTGATAGCTTCAAATTTGTTGTAAGAGGTATATTGAGTTCAAACTCCCTTGGCTCCACAAAATATTTTTTTGACTGTTATGGACCTCTTACTAAAAATAGTGACACCGCTTATAAAAAATCTTGTATGCCACTTTGTCGGTCCTCGTTTATAAGTGCTGGTTGACCATGACTATTTTTCTTTTTTTTTTTTGTTCTTTTCTTGTAGATATGATATTGCCATGAATATCAATGTCCTTGGTGCCGTCAACGTCCTCATGTTTGCTAAAAGATGTGAAAAAGTGAAGATTATTGTTCACGTATCCACTGGTCAGTTTTTAGATCTTAATTAAAGGTCCTTGTGATTTTTATTTTTGGAAAACAAAACGTGTTATTCTTTTTCATATACTATATATATATATATATATATATATATATATATATATATATATTATTGTTATTGCTATGGTTCTTAAAATCTTGTCGTATATATTAATTAGTTAGTGCGATGTCTTTGTCACAGCTTACGTTTGTGGGGAAGGGGAAGGAGTTATACCAGAGAAATCATTCATTTTGGGTGAGACACTCAACAAAAACTCCTACTTAGACATTGATATGGAGAGGAAGGTGATAGAAGACAAACTTAAGGAACTTGAAGCTCAAAATTTTACATCAAAGGAAGTGACGATAGCAATGAAAGATCTAGGCATTCAAAGGTTAGAAAAGGTCTAATTCAGTGTCATTGAGATAATATATATTTGTTATTGAAATTGGAAATAACCTTTCCACCTATTCAGTGTAGGGGTAAGGTTTACGTACACATTACCCTCCCCAGACCCCACTTGTAGGATTACACTTGATTTTCCGTTATTGTTGTTGTTATTGTTGAACCGACAAAGTCGGTCATTATTTTCTTTATTTAAGTGATCTAATTGCGTAAGTATATTCTATACCATCAGCGCATAGAAATTACGTACAATATTGCTTTTCTAACATTAACATGGCTTATATATATTGATTATTTAGGGCAACTTTGCATGGGTGGCCAAACACATATTCCTTCACAAAGGCAATGGGAGAGATGCTTTTAGGACATTTGAAAGAGAATTTACAACTTGTTATAATACGTCCAACAATTATCACTAGCACTTATAAAGAGCCATTTCCTGGATGGATTGAAGGAGTCAACTAAGTTTGTGAATTGATGTTCTTTTTTCTGCTTGTAAAGTTCATTGCATTTTTTCACTGCCAAGAGTAATTAATTCGACCAACTAAAAATCTTCATTATTTTCAACATGGCTTTTTTTTTTTTAGCTGATAATCTATCGAAAACAGTCTTTCTATAAGATAAAAACAAGGTCTGCACACACATTACCCTTCCTGAACCTCACACTGTAAGAATATCTTTGGCATATTATTGTTGTTGTATTCTTGAGATAAAATAAAGCACAGCATATAAAGAAGTGATTCACATCTCTTATATATTTATTATAAATAACTTTTACTTGCAACTGCAGAACAGTGGATTCATTTATCTTGGGATATGGTAAAGGCATACTGAATTTCTGCTTTGGTGACCCAAACACAAAAATTGACGCGGTATGTATTAATTCACTAGGCTGGTTCATTTTTTAAACACTTTCCTATTTTCATTATAAAGAAATTATTTATAACTTTTTTTTACCAACTACAAATGAGGTCTGCCTAATTTTTAACCTGTTTAATTTATTACAGATTCCAGGTGATATGGTGGTTAACTCCATACTTGCTGCAATTATAGCACATGGAAATCAATATTATTCTTCTCAAGAATCAATATATCACATTAGCTCTTCCAAAAAAAATCCCCTAAAATCTTGTGATATTCAATTGTTTCTGTTTCATTACTTCACCAAAAATCCATGGATCAACAAAGATGGGAACATCATCAAAGTGGGAATGCCTCCGCTATTTAGCAGCATGGATAGCTTTCAAAAATACATTTCAACCTATTATTGGCCATTGTTAAAGGTTTTTTTCTCATCAATATAACATTCTATTTTCATCTTTGATACAAATTTTAGTGGTGAAGTTACACATTTGGCCAGACAGCCAAAAATAATTAATTTCTCTAGCCAAATATACAAACAATATGCATAAATTATATTATATTATACGTATATTATATAATATACAAAAAAAGAATTCGGCTAATATTTTTGGAAGCGGCTATACTGTGTATTAATTTATATTATAGCATGAATATTTATTCTATTTATGTTATCTCCATCTTTAAGAATAATTATTACTAAGGGTAAAAAATAATGAATTTTGTCTTGAATTTCTAAAATGACAATTAATTTGAGACAAGTATTTTTAGTAACCATGACTATTAATACTCCCTCCGGTCCAAAATAAGTGATTTTTTTGGATATTTTCACACAGATTAAGAAATCCACCTTTTAACATTAATTAGCAATGGAATTGACCATATTAACCTTTACTATCTCACATAAACACTCCTAACACATATTCCGACACTATTTACTCCAAGGACAATGTAGGAAAAAAATAATTAATTCATTCTTGAAATCTAGAAAAATCACTTATTTTGGACCACAAAAAAAAGGACTAAAAAAATCACTTATTTTGGACCGGAGGGAGTAGTCCTTTAGAGTTGCTACCCAGTTCATTTCTACAGTTTTTAAGACATACCAACCGAAATTTAGATTCAAAATCTGCTTCCTAATCAAAATGTCTTTATTCATGTGGACTCTTTGTTGAAATTTGCTGGGAAAAAAAATAAGAAGTAGCCATATTTATAATTACTAGTTTCTCGCCACATGCGTTGCACGTGTATATCAAGCCATATAATACATTATTTTCAATATAATATTGTCACAAACAGCATACCCATCGACGTGTATCCTTTCATTAACGGATCTGTATGATTACTCCACTTTTAATTCAACTCATAATTATCTTTCTGCATCAGAATTGAATCTCTCTTTCGTTCCTTTGAGTCCTTTGTTTGCATCATTGATAAAATTTTGTCATATTAACCAGCGTGAGTTTATAGATTTTGCTGACCATTGTGACTCAAATGGGCAGCTTTTCATGATTTTTTATAAATAAGATATTTAGATTATTTAGAAGGGTATTTAGATTTTTAGCACACATTAGCGTATCTTAAGACTTGAACTTAAAATTTTCAGAATTACTACAGTAGATACAAACAATAACTAAGCAAACATAAGAAAATAGAATGTCTTTAGTTCATTGATTTGAAATGATCTCCTAACATACTTGTACTCATGATTTGAAAAATAAGAAGTCAGAATCATATATCTCACGAACCTTATGATCGATTATTCCCGATCTTGCATAAATATCGAACTTTTAATGTATTGGAATTATAACAACAACAACAATAACAAACTCAGTGGATGCTTATAGGTGAGGATAAGGTGTACGCAGACCTTATCCCTACTCTGGGAGGGCAATGAGATTGTTTCCGTTAAACTCTGAGCTAAAGAAAATCCTATGTTATTTATTTGGCCCTGTGGCATGGAACACTTCATCTCTTTGGCCGCCATTTCGGCGGAGATGGAAACGTTCAGAATAAGAAATGGCATATAACGACAAAGACACTAAAAGGAGTCCTGAGAATATCTTAACTAATGGAATGATAAATGTGACATATATATATAGTTCACAACCCTTGTCTTTTATAAGTTCTTGATCGACTAAATTCACTCATCCACAAAATAATAATAACTCACATCCAACTTTCTCCAAGGCAAAAAATATCGTGTCTTAACTTATAACCCTACCGGAAGTGAATCTCCATGGATGTAGCGACGAAATCGAAAGTTATCTTTAGAAATTAGAGAACAACATTATACTTTTAAAAAAAGTCAGATAATTGTACCGTTTTAAGTAGCTTAAACTTGCTATTAAATGGTTTAACAAAGAAAGAACGTATATTAATTATGAAATAAGTTTAAACAACAATACTTTTAAGAAAAGTAGTGAAAATAATACTGAGAGAGGGTGGATGATTCTTATTATATCATTTCAAGTGTGTAGAACCGAACTTCCAGTGCTTTCTCTATATAAATAAGTATACTGTATTCTGTATACAACACTAAACACATGGAAGAAGCTTACTTAAACGTTGACGTGCACAAAGCCAAAAAGGAAAATATATCTCACTAATCCTTTAAAATGGTATTCTTATTGGTTGCTAGAAAACATTTACGAATAGATATACATCTTTTACAAAGCCAACGGTTGGACTTTTCCTTAAAAGGCAACGGTTGAAAGAAGGTGATTTCATTATTAATCTGAAGCATCTTAAGAGACACAACTCTTTAGAACAATTTCCTCCGTCTTTTGGTTTAAATAATATTAACTATTAATATATTAAAATTATATTATACATTTTCTTAATAAGTAGGGTATTTAAATTATTTAGAAGGATATTTAGGTAATTTAACTTTTAAGTTTTGGGGTTCCCACTTTTAATATAATATAGAATGATATAGATAATTGAAAAATAGCCACAATTTCAGTAATAGTCGAAATTTAGTCACTTTTTATATAAAGATATGAACAAAAACACTCAACGTATGTTAGCCTAACGTGCGCCATGGGAAAGAGAGCTCGAAATCCATCGCAGAAGGCGATAATGGCGAGGGGAACTATGGAATTCCAACAGCGGAAGAAGAACGATGAAGGAAAGCAAGGTCAAAATCTAGAGAAATAATTTGAAAAAGTGAAAATCAATGAAACAATAGCATGCAGTGCGGAGAAGAAGAAGCAAAAGGAAATTGAAGTGCAATTAAGTGAAACTCCACCAAGTGCAAGATCATCGGAGCTGAGAATTACAGAATTGGGTGAGGGTTCATTAAAAACCTCACCAAAATCGCAGGAAACTGGCGCTGGGAGTGGTAAATTGTCGTGGGCTGATGAAGCAGAGATCGTGGAGATTTCACCTGAGCCAAACTCTGGGGGATCTATATGGGACAATTTCAACATAACAAAGGTAACTAATGCTGGATTTAAGCTGGAATTTGTAGAACTTGTTGTACATGATAAGACACCTGTTTGTGAAATTGAGACGGAGGACATTAGCTCTGAAATTGAGTATTGGAAGAATGTTGTGGTGTGCTATGTTCTAGGAGCGCACCCACCATTTACTGTACTCAACGCATATGTAAGAAGGATATGGGGAAAACACGGTATTAATAAAGTTTCTATGCTAAAAAATGGAATAGTGATTGTGTGATTTGATACCAACATGGGGAAGAATGAGGTGCTACAAGGTGGGATATACCATTTTGATAACAAGCCGTTTATTGTTAAAGCATGGAATGTGGATATGGAATTCACTAAACAGGAGTTATACACTGTGCCTATATGGATCAAATTACCTGGTTTGGATTTCAAATACTGGAGCCCTAAGGAACTGAGCAAAATTGGCAGCTTAGTTGGAAGACCACTGATGGTAGATAGTAATACTGAGAAGAAGATGGGGCTAAGCTTTGCAAGGCTCCTAGTAGAAGTACAGATGGATACAAAACTACCAGATAAAGTATTTTTCAAGAATGAGAGGGGGCTATTAATGGAGCAAAAAGTACAATATGACTGGAAGCCTACACTATGCAAAGCGTGTAGGAAATATGGGCATGATGAGCAGGTGTGCAAAAATAAAAAACAAGCAGCAGAGCCAAAACCAGCAGAGGAGCAGAATAAAAAAGGAGAGGAATGTCCAACAGGAAAACATAACAAAACACCAAATAGCAAGGAAGGAGAAGGAACAAGCAAAGTGCAAGTGAATACAATGGAGGCAGGGCAACAAAAAATGCAAGAGAATCAAGGAAATGCTGGATGGACAACACCAAGCAATGTTACAAGAACCACAAATAAGCAATCAAAACAGGGGAGGAAGCTGGAAACAGAAGTTACTACAATAATTTTCAGATATTGGAGACACAGGACACTGAAGGAGCAGAGGCTAGCAGGAAAGGAGAGGGAAATGTGGGAGGGAGAGTATTACCTCCTATTAATAATGGATAACATGTTATGTTGGAATGTTAGGGGTATGAATGCCCCTAACAAACAAAAGGAGGTAAAGCTCCTTTGTAATAAAGAAGATATAGGGTTGATATGTATGGTGGAAACAAAAATAAAGGCAGACAAAATAAACCAAGTGGCTAACAATCTACTTGGAGGATGGGGGTGTATAACAAATCTGAGTAAGCACTATAATGGTAGAATTTGGGTGGCATGGAGACAGGACTGTTACCATGTAACTGTGACTACAATGAGTGATCAAGCAGTAACATGCATGGTCAGCCATAAAAGACTGCAGGTAGATTTTATGATGATTGTAGTATATGCTTTCAACACCAGAGAAGAAAGAAGGAGTTTGTGGAAGTACATAGAGAATGTGAGAAAGAATGTGGGAGGCCCATGGATAGTTATGGGAGATTTCAATGATGTGCTGCATACTGATGATAGAGTTGGGGGGGGGGGGGGGAAATCCAGTAAGTTTAGCTGAAATAATTGACTTCCAACAATGCATAGACCAATGTGACTTGATGAAAATGCCAACTAGTGGGAGCAGGTATACTTGGAATGATAGGCATGGTGATAGCAGGGTTTTATCAAAAATAGATTGGGCTTTCATCAATACAGCATGGCTCAATATAATACCAACATATAGGGCATCATACTTAGAAGAAGGCATCAATGATCATTGCCCATTAAAGCTGTCAATAGACACTTTAAATAGGAGGACAAAAGATACTTTTAAATTCTGTAATGTTTGGGCATCACATACAAACTTTATAGACATAGTTAAAACAGGATGGATGAATGAGGTTGAAGGGTGTAGTATGTTTCAGGTGGTCAGGAAACTAAAAATGCTGAAGGAAGAGTTGAAGATGTTAAAGAAGAGGCACTTTAGTAACATCATAGAAGAAGCAGATGCAGATAGACTGGCCCTGGCCACAGCTCAAGCAAAACTTCACAAGAATCCTATGGATGCAGGGTCACAGCTAGAAAAAAAAAATAGAAGTATCAAAAATTCAAAAAATTATCATACCTGGCAGAGGTATATCTTCAACAAAGGAGCAAGGCTACTTGGATTAAGCTGGGAGATGACAACAATAGGTATTTCTTTTCAGTAATCAAGCACAGGAGGATGCAAGAAGCAATCATACAATTAACAGACAAAGCTGGAGCTATCAAAACTGAGCAAGAAGATATTGCAGGAATTTTTGTGGACTACTATCAGGAATTACTAGGAACAAAGGGAAGATTCAGAGATTATGCCATCTAGGGGTTCTTAAAAAATGGGAAAGTGTTATCAATTGCACAACAATTACAACTCTTAAGGCCTTACACATGAGCAGAAGTGAAGAAAGCAATATTCAGCATCAATGATACTAAAAGCCCTGGACCAGATGGGTATGAGAGTGGGTTCTATAAAGCAGCATGGACAATAATTGGAGGGGATGTGACAAAAGCAGTGTTGGAATTTTTTGAAAGTGGAGAATTACTCACTCAGATCAACTCAACCAGCATAGCACTTATACCAAAAGTAAAGAATCATGTGCAGGCAAGTCAATTTAGACCTATTGCTTGCTGCAATGTTATATATAAATGTATTTGCAAGATCATATGCACTAGATTGAGGAAAGTCATACCAGAGATTGTAGTAGATAACCAAGCAGCATTCATTGAAGGAAGATCACTTATCCACAATGTATTGATATGCCATGATCTTTTAAGACACTACAACAGGAAGACTACTCCTAGGTGTTTGATGAAGATTGATCTAAAGAAGGCTTATGACATGGTAAGATGGGAATTTCTGGAAGAAGTACTCAGAGGCTATGGCTTTCTAATGTCATTCATTCAATTAATAACGGTGTGTGTTACAAAAACCAAGTTCACTGTCAAGGTGAATGGTGCGGGATATGGATATTTTGAAGGAAGAAGAGGATTGAGGCAGGGAGATCCTATGTCTCCACTATTATTTGTACTTGTCATGGAGTACCTAACAAGAGGGCTGAATAAGATGAGTGAAGTGACAGAGTTTCAATATCATCCAATGTGTAAGAGCACAAAACTGACTCATTTGATATTTGCAGATGATTTGATGTTATTCTGTAAAGGCAATAGTTAGTCTATTAATAGGATGTTGGAGGTGGTGAATCACTTCAGTGCAGTATCAGGACTGGTAGCAAACATGAAAAAGTCCAACATATATCTAGCAGGAATGGATGAAGAAAGTAAGCAAGCTATAGTGAGTGATACAGGGTTCTCAGTGGGTACTCTACCGATGAGATACCTGGGACTACCACTAACATCAAAGAAATGGAGCAAGGTGGAATGTCACCAGTTAGTAGAGAAGATCACAACAAATATACAAACAGGTTATGCTAAACTTCTATCATATACAGGTAGACTGCAAGTAATCAATTCAGTCCTATTTGCAATATATAATTTTTGGGGAGCTGTCTTCATACTTCCTCAAAGTGTAATAAAAGCAATAGACAGGAAGTGTAGGGAATACCTATGGGGCACTACAGAAGGTCATAGGAAAATGGCTTTGGATCATGGGAAGTTCTGTGCAGGCCAAAGATATATGGTGGACTGAATATAAAGGGATGTAAAAATTGGAATATAGCATCAGTTGGGAAACTACTATGGCAAATAGTGACAAATAAAGAGGTTATATGGGTGAGATGGGTACATGGGGTATATATGAAAGCATGTAGAAATTTCTGGGAACACAGGCCTCCATGTGACTGCAGCTGGTATTGGAAGAAGCTAAATAGTTTAAAACAAAATATGGCACAATGGTACCAGGGGAATGCATATAGGCTGAATAGCAATGGGCAGTATTCAGTATCTAGAAGCTATAATGCAATGATAGGACATTTGCCAAGATACAGGGAAATGAAACTGATATGGAACAGGAAACTACTACCAGGACATAGGTTTGTCTTGTGGCTGGCTTACCAACAAAAACTGCAAACAAAGAGTAGATTAATACAGCTGAACATTCCTATAACAGACAATGTAGAATGTTGTCTTTGTGATCAGGGAGTAATTGAAACACAACAACATATGTTTGGAGATTGTAGTTGGTTTAAAGACATGAAAGAGGCTTTAACAAGCTGGGCAGCAATCAAGCTACCAAACATGGCAATACCAGAGCTGTTAAAATGGATCAACAGAAGGAATTGGAAGCACATGAAGAAGGAGGTTGCAACAGCAATCATAGGAGCAATGGTGTATCACACTTGGCAAGCAAGGAACTGGAGGATCTTCAGACAAATTGCATTGAAATTGGAATTTTGCACTGGACAAATAAAAAAGGAGATGGTGGACAGGATAAGCATGCATGAAGAATCCAAAAGAGCAGGGCAATGCTCGTTGTTGATGCAAAGAATATGTGCCTAGGAAGAAGTATGCAATTAGGCACCTGTAGTTATTATTTCAATAGCCAAGGAAGATTGTACTTAGAATGATTTTATTTTGTTGTTTGAGGTCTGGATGTATTAGAAGATCTAATACACTGGATGCTCTTAGGATGTAAAACACAGTTGGTTGCTATGGTAATATTCACATTTATTGCCAAAAAAAAACACTCTTAATAATCCGAAAATATTCTAGTATCATACTATGCTAGGGTTTGAATTTTTTACATACGAGTTTCCAGCATAATATATTGAAATTTTATAATGTGCTGGAGTTCCATCATAACATACGCAAATGCGACTGGAACTTCGCAAATGCGAAGGTCACCCCCCGTTCCCAGTCATCGCAAATGCGATGGTTAGTCGTAAATGCGATATCTGCGCCTGTGTAAATCATAACTTAGCCGAAAATTCTTCATTTTTCAAACTTTCTCAAAACCTAAACTCTCTTGGGCGATTTTCTAAAGAAAAGTTCTTCTCCAAAATAATTGTAAGTCATTTCTAACTCATTTCCTTTAATCTATAACATCTTTTTACATAATTTCAACTCAAAATCAAGGGTTTTCATGGGGGAAATTGGATGTTCTGGGTAGAACCTAGGATTTTCAAATTTTGGGGATTTGGACCTCGATTTGAGGTCCGATTTCAAAACAAATTATATATTTGAGTTCGTGGGTGAAAGGGTAATCGGGTTTTGGTTCGAACCTTGGGTTTTGACCATGTGGGCCCGGGGTCGATTTTTGACTTTTTGGGGAAATCATTGGAAAACCTATTTTCATGCATTAGAATTGGTTCATTTAGCATTTATTGATATCGTTAAGTAAATTGTGGCTAGATACAAGCGAATTGGAAGTGGAATCAAGAGGTAAAGCGGTAGTTGAGGCTTGAATTGTGTTCGTGACATCGAGGTAAGTGTTTGGTCTAACCTTAGCTTGAGTGATTAGGAGTTGTGTCTTATTTTCTATGTGTTAATTGTTGAGTACGACGTATAGGCATGGTGACGAGTATCTATATGTCGGTGTCAAGCATGCCCGTGAGTCTTATACTATGATAAATGTGACTCCGTTTCGTATTGTTCATGCTTTAGATGATGATATCTATTGTTGAACAAGGCTTGTGAGAGTATTATTGGTAATTGAACATTGTAGAGCGTTGGCTCAAATTGTGAATTGAGTTGTGGAAGTATTATCGGTAATTGAACATTGTAGAGTGTTGGCTCAAGTTGTGAATTGAGTTGTGAAGTAATTGTGGAAAAGAGAAGAGGTTTTTGATATTATCTCCCTTGCCGGGATGTTATTGCTTTTGATATTATCTCCCTTGCCGGGATGTTATTACTCATGATATTGTTTCCCTTGCCGGGATATTATTGTTATGCTATTGTTCCCTTGCCGGGATTCTATTGTGATTTTATTGATTCCCTTGCCCGTATTGCTTTGTGATTGTTGCTTGGGTAAGGAAGAGTGTAAAAGCACGAAGGGTGATGTCGTGCATGATATTTGTGAGAGAGTGTTAATGCACGAAGGGTGATGCCGTGCCGATATTGTGAGGTTAAAGCACGAAGGGTGATGTCGTGTCGCACGATGTACAATGATGTGCCATGATATGAGTGATAATGCACGAAGGATAATTCCGTGCATGATTATGTGAGGTAAAAGCACGAAGGGTGATGTCGTGCCGATTATATTGATTCTTATGGTGAGGACGAGAGTAAAATCACGAAGGGTGATGCCGTGCACTTGTCCTTGATTTTCCTGATTCTTGCTGATAATTGAGTTATGATGTTCTTTACATTTATTTATTGGTTTTATGTGCTTACTTGATTTTATTGTGATGTTATTGATTCCCTTACCCAAATTGCTTTGTGATTGTTGCCTGGGTGAGGAAGAGTGTAAAGCACGAAGGGTGATGCCGTGCATGATATTTGTGAGAGAGTGTAAAGCACGAAGGGTGATGCCGTGCATGATATTTGTGAGAGAGTGTAAAGCACGAAGGGTGATGTCGTGCACTTGTCTTTGATTTCCT